CATTGAATACTTTCCTAAAATATCTCCTTGATTTAAGGATAACATATTAATTGGATTTCAATTTGAATTTGAAATTCAAATTAATCCTAATTGATAGCCTCTTATTTGGAAACTTCCTTTCTTACAAAATCTGAAATATAATTCAGATTTTATTAAATCCTTGATTAGTGATGTGGACCCCACTCATTAATAACAATTAATCTCTCCCCTCTCTATATGTGGCCGGCCCCCTTCATGGGGTTTCTCTCTCTCTTAAATTAACTCCCTAATCCCACCAAATCAGCCCCCATCCACTCCCCATTGCCGCCCCCTATCCCTAATTGAATTTAATTTGAAATTATCAAATTAATTCCTCCCCACTCACCCAAAACCTGAAATAATTTCAGGATTCCTGATTTTATTCCTTGGTCTCCCACTCTAGCTGCCCCCTTCAAACTCTCATGCCGGCCCAACCCCTTCTCCCTCCACGCCGCCACCTCATATCTCCTTTCTCCCTATTGGTGCTCTTTCATTTCCGGCAAGGATGCATGGCGGATCATGAAGTTGATAGCGGGTTCGTACTCGACGCCTACGGAGACATCCACATCGTTCGATCACCATTCTTCGACGTCGGGTTTGTTTTTGACGACACTTTTGAAGATTACTTGAACCGAATCCTCCCCAATCTCGTGGACATCCTCGACGATCAATTCTCGGACTACGAGTGGACCATCAACGGCCATCCACCCGTTTCTCCAACTCCCGCTTCTTCCCCGGCGACGAGTCCCCTCGGCATCACTTATGTAATAGTGGTATCTCTAAGTGTGCTTACGATCCTCTTCCGCTAACCTCCACCTTCAAGAGTGATTAAAGGACCTCGAGGTGAAGGATCTATATTTTAAACGTAAGGCTTTGTTATAATTGGCTATTTGCATTATTTAAAATCTTCGGTTGTTCTTTTGCATGTTCTTGTAATCTCCAAGTGTAATCAATTACTATGGCTTAATCTTTCATGACATTTTCTTGAACTCTACTTGAGTAAGCTAGACTTTATTGCTAGTATGCAAAGTTAATATCCTTTTATTAATCTCTAAAGTGCAATTCTTGCTTTCGCATTTAGTTTCACATCAAGTAGAAAGTAAAAGAAGTGTAAACTAATGTATAGTGGTTTTATACCAATGGCCTTTATCTACTTCTCGAATCCTCCTTTCAATATGTTCACTAGCCTCTTCTTTTGTTACCACAAGACCGAAATTTCTTTTCTTCACAAGCAATAGAAATCCAGCACTCCCTTCTACTCCAAGTGAGAAGCCAAGTGCTTTAGCCCCACTTCTAGTTACACCAAGCATCATAGTGTAAGATCAACCAGTACCGAAATTTTTAGAGCTGATTAGATTTTATGATAATTTATCTAATGTATGATCAAGCTCAATTTCAAAATTATACAGATAAGTATATTTTTACTATGATTATAAGATACTGGAATTAAATAAAAATTGAGATTATTCCAAATTTAATTTAAATAGATGGTTCTATATGATGAACATTGTACTATATAATGTCTGATTATCACAATCAAATCCACATAATCAATCTGCATGAATTAAGCTTATTCTAAATTTGAATTAATCATATCATATGATTTATTTCCCAAATTAAATCTAATTAATCTTATGATTATTTCAAATGACAAGCACAATCGAAATTGAATTGATCTTTCAATATGATTAACCAGTAAACATTTTTTGTTTTTGGAATAGCCTTAGACTTTGGTATATGATGTATATATTTATATGAAACCTTAGGCAAAAAAGTGAACTAAAAAAGGCAATCTACGACTAAAAAAACCCTAAACCCTAAACTTCTAGAGAGAGAAAAAGAGAGTTATATGTGAAGGCCATAATGTGTTTAACCACCGAAGGTCGGGATGTGCTCTCGTTTCGCCCGCTCTGCTTGGACTTTGCCCTAGCTCTCTCCGGCGCGCTTGCTTTGGTGGCGTCGGCATCTTCTGTTCCTTCAGGGAAGTTCACCTTCCTTTTTGGTTGTGCTTTTGGCTTTTCGTTTGTTGGATTGGTTTCTTTCTTTTCTGGCGAGTGTCGGCATGGCTCCGAAGCTCAGTGACCCTGGTTTTTTAGAGGGTTCACCTTCTTCTCGTTCTTTTTGAGATGTTTTTGTGGGCTCGTCTTCTGTCGCTACTTTTTCGGAGCTTAGGGTTTCATCTTTTCGTGGATTACCTTCTCTTTGGATCTCGGAACAGGAGATCAATACTTTAGCTGCTCCTTTCCAGTTCTCTTTAGTTGGTTTTTTCCCCTCTAAATGGCCATCTCTTGACTCTATCCGAAGTTTTTTCCTTAATCTTAAATTAAATGGGGAATTCTCGGTCACCTTGCTGGATCCGACGCATATCCTTATTAAGTTGAAAAACGACCTTGATTACTGTCGGGTGTTCTGCAATAGATCTTATTTAGTCTTTAATTGTTACATGAAGCTTACCAAGTGATCGCCCCTCGTGGATATCAGTGTCGAGTCACCGATCGTCCCCATTTGGGTATCTTTCCCTCAATTACACCCTGACCTTTTCTCTCCCTGCATTCTTCACGGTTTGAGTTTGCTCTTTGGCAAACCCCTAAAAATTAATTCTGCTACTTCCATGGGTTCCAAGCCATCCCTAGCTTGTGTTTTGGTAGAATTGAATATTACTAAATCCTACCCCGATAAGGTCTGGTTAGGCCCTAAGAAGTCCGGCTATGTTCAGCAAGTGGTTATGGAGAATTTCCTTCCTTTTTGTGCTTATTGTAAGTGTTTTGGGCATTTATTTGGAAATTGTCGTCCTGTTGCTGATCCTTCTATTCCGTGCAAGGGTTTTAACAAGGATTTGGTTAATCCTGAGTTGGTTAGTTCATCTTCCCTTGAGGCTGATCGGCTTATTTCTGCTACTAAATCCATTCCTTGTTCTGCTTCTGCTCCGTGTGCGTTGCCTGGGGTGCCTTTGGTTAATGCAGGTTCTATTTTGCCTGTGGCGGAGGATGCTATTATTACGCAGGTGATTGCTGCCTTAGTTAATAACATAGCGAATGTTGAGTCTGTGGAAACTTTGGATGCTGTTTGTGACGCTAGTCCTTTGGCTTTGGTCACTGAGGGCCCGTCTATTGGTATTTTGGTTCCCTCCCCGTCTGCCCCTATCGAGAATGCTAGCCTTGTGGTGGGGAGTGAGGAGATTTTGAGGAAAGTAGTTTCTCCTTTGGTTCCTTCGTTTTCTTCTCGTAGGTTTGGTGTGTTGGGAGATATGAATTGCCATACTAATCTTAAAGCTAGCTTATCGTGTGGGGATGTTGTGCCTGGCCCGACAATCTTAAAGCTAGCTTATCGTGTGGTGGTTGTTTATGGTGTGTCTTCTCCTATCAATGCTATGATTCCTTTCACTAATGTTATTCCGGGAGGATCTACATCTTTTATTAATGTGCCTATTACTATTATGTCAAATAGTGAATTGAAATCTCAGGTAGATAAATCGGTCAAGAACTCTGTTTTGGTGCAAAATGATTGGTTTATTTTGAGTGACTCCCTCTCCTCATCTGATGGGGGGGAGGAAGAGGAACTTGGTGAATGGGATGAGGTTGTGACTGTTAAGCTTTCGAACCATAGTCGTTCTAATGGTGGAAATAAGCGCAAAAATAAAGGTAAAAAGAAATAGGTTCTGGCTCTTTTCGAATTGCTCTTCGACGGTGGTTTTTGACGGATTTGTGGACAATGATGAGGAATCCCCCAGCTTCCCCTCGCTGGCTCGGCTGGTTGGCAACCGAGGTGATTTGGACTTTTGCTTGGATTGCTTGGTAGCTTGGAATTTGTGGGGTTCTCATCTTTGGATGATCTGTGGCTGGTCGCGAGGCTGGTGCAGGGGGTTTCCATTCCTGAGTCCGGTGATTTTTATTTTTGCTCTCGTTGTATTGAATTGTACCTTGCGGATCGTTTTGAGTTTTTTGCTATGGTGTTGCGTCAGCTGGGGCACAGGGATTGTAATTTTCTTTTACTTGAATAAATGGTCTTTTTGAGGAGAAAAAAAAATTTATACATGAAGGCCATCTTTCTCATTTCAACACTTTGCAGTCATATGTTTGTACACTTCGTTTTTAAAGTCTTTCTTGATTTTTTTTTATAAAGATCTTGGTTCTCAAAGCAATGTTGTAAGAGCTTGATTATTTAGCGAGTTGTGTTGGGAGAAGTTGGCTTCTTGGTTTGAATAGAAGTGTAGGGTTTATGCATTACCTATGAAAAAGAGAGACTTCTTTTCTTTCGGTAACAAAGGAGAGGATGGCTAAACAAATCCCAAGAGTACTCGAGAAGTGGCCAAGCCACTATAAGTCTTTTGCTTATTTTTTCTTATTTTTTCTTCACTTTTATTTTTTTCAATCTTTTATTGCAATCTGATATTAGAATAATTTACTTTCTTGAATGATGGATTGCGTGTGATGAATGACTTGAATAAATCTTTTGAAAAAAGTAAAGGTTATAATCCACTTGCAAAAATATTATTCATTGGTGACACAAGAATCTCAGTTTAAATATCATGTTTTGTCACTTTATTCTAGATAGAGGAAATAATTTGTTCTTTCTACAAATTAAAAAAGAATTTAACTTTCTTTAATGTCTCCAAGCATCTTGAAGTGGTCTAAAGACAGATTTGAAAGTACTATTATTCTGTCTTGCACTATTGGCACACAGATTGCACAAAGCACTAATGCCAATGTTATTTTATGATGACCATGATTAATTCCTTGTTTTCTATTTTATTAAAATATATCAGTAGTAATGTTTATATATTTTTACACTTTAATTCTATTCTTTTAACCACCCTTTCTTCATGCTTTCCTTTATTGCATGCCTTTAGGGTCATAGATTTTTATTTATTATTGTGTAATAATACTGCTATTATAAGTTTCCCTTTCTACAAGTAATAGTTTCATTTTCACTTTTCAATCAAGAAAATCTCCCCTTTCAGATTGCCTTTTTTTTACCCGCAGAGTCTTCATTGATGGTCCTTATTGAATTACCAACTTGCTCTGCGAGGAAGTGGAAACAAATCATACAGTTTTTATAGATATTTTTCTCTGCACTGAGTGGGGGAATTCAGATGCAGTAAGATTATATTTATTTGTTGATGTAGAGGATCATAGAGGCCTCACTTGTTTCCTTTAGATGGATTGAAGAAGATTTGGATTTCTTCATTTCCTCTTTTCTTGTAGTTTTATGTTTCAGTCCTTGGAGTTAATGTATTATGTATGGATTGCCCTTTATTATTCGGCTCTTCAGTGTGTTTAAGCTTCTAACTTCTCTTTATTATATTTTGTGAATCAGTTGGAAAACTTAGCATAAAATGTGAATAAAGTATTGTTTTACTCTTTTGGTTTTTAATCTTTATGGATTAGTACTAATTCCAGCCACCTTGATTTTTGGGTGTTTTATACAGGATTGCAGGTGATGATTAAATAGATCAGCCATAGAAAAACAAAATGACTGTAGCCTCATTTTGCAGCCACACATCTCTACTATCTTTGCTTATCCGACGTTGTGCACTTTATGCCATGTTGCAATTCAAGTAATTCCTGTACTAGCAATGTCTCTCATTCTCTCAATGTCATGATTTTTTTTTTTTTTTTACTTTTTTTTTTTTTTGTTAACAAGTTATATTAGAAAAAATAATAATAATGAAAACTTGATACACATGATAATGGTGATTAGCACTTTTTTTTACATAAATAAAAAATTTGCTAATAAAGTGCTGATTTTAGGGGTTTAAAGAGCGCTCTTTCCTTAAACTCAGATGGTATCCATTAGTCTTTTAAATATCCATGGATGGCATTCGTACTCCTGCATGATTTTTTCCAGTCCATTCTTACATATGGTCATTGGTGCAACCAATTAAAGGGTATTGCAGACTTCAACTGGTTGGAGATAAACACTGGTTTCATGGGGTAAAGAGAGGAGAGATGGACATTGATTCCCTATTTATCTGTTTTTCCTGCTTTATAGGCTTCGTTTGGGACGGTTTTTTTGTGCTTCTTGAAGCAGCTTTTTAGTATAAAAAATAATAATTTTTGAACTAAAAAAGCCGTTTTGAGAAGTAATAAAAAAATCATCCCAAACGAAATCATAAATGCTACAATATATCATGTAGTGTTTTAGAAATATTTTTTAGAATAAAGATTCAAGATCTTAAGATTTTAAATGTACATAAAAAAGCTAATGTTATATGAAAAAAAGTTACTAAGTGATATTAAGAATGTTGTGAATGATGCGTTTGGATTATAAAAAAAATTATAATAGTAAAAATTGTTGCTAGTAGAATTGTAATATACAAGAAAATATCAAAAATAATAAAAAAATTGTTATAAAATAGGTTTAAATGAAAAAAATTTAGAAAATTGATCAAGATATGAAAGGTTTATAAGGAGTCTATCAAAGTAATATGTGATGTAAATAATTTAGCTTTTAATGATTTATATAATATATTAGTACAAATGGGATGAAAGATGTATGGATATGTTAGCCAAGCAAAAAAGATAGGACAAGTAAGGATATAGTTCAAGTGAAGTGCATTAAGGATGAATATCAAAAAGTGCTTTTATTAGTAGTGGATATTCGACAAAGATAAATGAGATATTTTGATAAGTTTTTCAATGAAGATTGTGAGAATACAACTGACTTTAGTGAGCTTAGCACCCTAAATAAAAATATAAATTTTTTTTTTTATCGTCATATTAGTAAAACTAAAGTTGGAGCAATTTTAAAGAAAATGAAGTGTAGAAAAAACTGTTAGACCTGATGATATTCCAATAGATGAGTGGAAATGCTTAGGGGACGAAGGATTTTTTTGTCTTACGAAACTTTCAATATTATTTTGAAGACTAAAAAGATGTGAGATGAGTGGAGAAAGAGTTTGTTGATTTTTATGTGTGTAAATTATAGAGGCATTAAGTTAATGTGTTATACTTAACTATAGAGGATAGTTATTGAGCATAGGTTATAATGTGATACAGTGGACAAATAAATTGGGTCAACTTATTCAGACTTTATAATTTCTATAATAAAATATGCATAGCTAACATCATATTATCTTAAAAGACATTAGTGTTGCACTATCGATTCGAAGATAGAAATAAAATTTATTTTCAAAGTCAAATTCAATAGAAGGAATTTAATATTCATCTCGAAACATAAAATGACATTCACTTATCATTTTGACAATGAAATTAACAAATATATAAGACTTTATTTACATCAAGAGATTTTTTTCTCCACTCTAGCAAACTAAAGCATGATTTATTTTTTTATTGGGTTTAGGTTTTCCAAAGGAGCAAGCTTTAAGGATAATTACATGCCTAGAAGAATCTTGAGAAAACTCTTGAGTAAGGTGGGGACTAAGCTTCTCTAAACCTATCTGACTTACCTTTAGTGTTTGTCTAGTTTATCTTACTATTTTTTCTTGTATTTTTTTCTTTATTTGTTTATTCCTTATCTTTTTGGTAATGTCAAAAAGGGAAGAAAATGTATGATTTGTTATATTTTAGTAGAATATTGTACCTGTGTTACTTTATTTTCTTCTTTTAATTTATTATTGTCTTTTAAAAAATTAATAAAATAATAAAAATTTGATATTTGCAAACCCTAATTTTTTTTAAATCCATCACCTAGTGAGGGGAGCTTAGGAGAAAAGAATATTTATCTTACCTATCAATCAAGATTATTTGACATCACCAAAAAGGAGAATATTGTTCCAATCAAGGATCCGTATATGATTCTGATGATAATAACTATTATTTATTGAATTATTTCTTTTCTCATTAAATATTTTGGATATTTCTTTTATCTGTGAGCACTAACATTACAGGTAAGACATACACCACTCAAGGCTATTGAAAGCTTAAGAATGGGTATAATAGGAATGACAAGTAATAAAGTCTGCAATTTTAATTTTGTTTCTTTTCTATTTCTTGAGTCTGGCAACATAATAGTGTATATAATTGGGTGACTGTACACACTCATATAAAGGGAGCAATATGAATTTTAAAAGTTTAAATTTTTGTACTAATTATACTGTAGGACTTACAATCATATTGTACGATCTATAAATAAAGAATGGGCTTAATGGCTAATTAATCATTTTATTTATGTGAACTAATCATAATGTATGATCGTGATTGTACTGTATGATTTATTCTAGCTGCCATATTAATTTAAGTAAGATTTTAAAATTTAATTTTTGAACTAATCGTACTGTACGATGTGAATTGTATTATATGAATGTTTAAAATTTTGCTAAAATTAACCCCCGTAATTAGTTAATCAAATCATGATTTAATTAATAATAGCGAATCATATTGTATGATATTTATCGTACCAAATAATTAGTGGAGATGAAATTTGGTCGTCCAAAAGATCATATCAAACGAAACAATGATTTTTTAATTAATCATATTGTACAATATTAATATCATATTGAATGACCTTCTTGAAATCAACTAATTGTACTGTACGATGAGAGTAGTATGGGATGATTAGCATAGATGATTTTCAATCATCCTAGGAATATATCGTCCTGTACGAATAGAGGAAATTAAACATATTGTACTGGACAATCTTTGGATCGTACTGTATGATGTGTTCAAATTAATTAAATAATTTATTTGAACGACTATCTATATCATACTAGATGGGACTAATTTGGAACTAACCATACTGTATGAACTAAATCGTACTGTATGAACAGTGACAACTAACTTAATTTTTAGGATTTCTTAAAGCTCATTACTTAAGGATGTTTTAAAGATTCTCTTTGTAATGAGGAGAGGATTATGTGACTGCTGAAGGTACTGTAAGAGAGAAGCTTTTAAAAAATGCAGGGTTTAAGAGGAAGGAGAAGATGAGGCTGACTGCAAGGGAGGAGGAGTATGAGGGGATCATATGGTTGCTCTGAGCTAGCTACACCCTTGCTCCTCCTATGGCCCTGGTGAGTCTTAGGAAGCTCTCTAAGGAGAGAGGCTTCAAGTTCAAGTCCTCGAGGTACTCTGCCTTCTCCAGGAGAGAGAAAAAAGAGCTGAGGTACTCTGCCTTCTCTAAGAGGGAAAAAATGAGCTAAGGTTTGCTGCCGTCACTGGGAGGGTGACCACATTAGGAACTATGCCCTATCAGTTTTAGTGAAAGTGAGTCTGTAAGGGCTTCTCCATCTTGCTATGGAAGCAAAAGAAGAGTCGCATTATTTTAGTAGAAATTTTGGAGCGGAGGACTCCGGGGAGTGGAAGTAGGTCAAGGTTGATCAAACCACTATAAAAATCTCTTGTGTGTTTTTTTTTTCTTATTTTACACTTTTATATTTCATGTATTTTATTTCTGCTATAACTACTTGGGAAATTTGGTGATTATTGCTTTGTCTCGTAAATCAAAATATCATTATAGTAAAATTAATATTTTTGATAAACTCATATGCTTTTGCAATCAATTAGAATTTGGTATTTTTAATTTTTGAAAACTCTTTCAAAACTATTGTCATTATTATTTTTAAGTTAATAATTTTTTTTTAATTATGAATTCACCCCCCTCTTAGTGAGTTTCGGGCCAATTCCTTAAGGTTTAACAAACTTCACGAACTTGCATATCCCATGGTAAATTATACTTTATGAATAATTCAAGAAATACCCCATGGTGTATTTCTTGAATTATGGTTAATGGATTACAAATTATAACTCAAAACTATATGAGTTTGATAGTACTCCTCAAGCTGAATTCATAGATTCTAAGAACATAAAAAATGGACGGAATAAAAGTTATGAATTTTCAAAGATCCTTTAATTTTTTCTATAAACTTAAGTCACTATTTACACAATTAGATTGATCTTAATGCGTGGCACATTTTGATTTGTCAGTAAATCATAAGCATACTAATAATAGAGAACACTTGTATTTGTATTTTCTTTAGACACGATCGAAGGAGTATAGAGAACACTTTTCTTTAAGAGACTTTGGCAAGAGGAGGGATGGATCAAAAGTTTGTTTTTACGATGGGAAGATTGTTGGAACTCACGCAAAACCACCAAGAAATATCACACAAGAGACTAGGGAGTCATAGGAAGGGACCTCTCACTCTCTGGATTCTAAATAAAATTGGCAATTTAACCCCTTTTTGAGAATTTTTAAGCTATTTATACATTTTCAAAATGAACAAGGATGAGATTTTAGCTTTGTCCAGACCCTCTCCAACCAGTGGGTTGAGTCAGGCAAGTCATAATGTCTAGGGAGGAGTTCTCAAAGCACTTAAAGTTTGGGATATCTTAGATTGTATGAGCTTGCTTGACTTGTGAGGTCACATGGATGGTTATCAAGATAATTGTTGAACTCAACTAATCCAAGCTGGCAGA